TTTGGGTTGTGGATGTTGGGACGACAAAGATCCTGGGACAAGCAAAGCAGAGACAGGCACAGGAGTTCCTAGAAACCTGGTACTTCACAAAGAAAGCCATCAACAAACACATAGAACTCGACGCCATATCCACTCCATTGCGAAGGAAAACCGGAAGTGAGGTAATCCAGCTCAACGGACTCCAGAGTTTAAAAACCAGGCGGGAAAACACAACGGCGTTTCAATCGGAGGCTGCACTGATTATGTTACCCAGCAGGGTAATGAAACGTCTGCGGAACAACAACGCACCAGCTCGGCGAGCCAACCAACCTCAACATTACAAAGGTTTATCATGACGTCCTTGTTTTTACATCTAATACTCCAATTTCTTATTTTTAATTCATTCACTAGAGGAATTAATCTAACTATACATGAGAACATAAGAACTAGGAGCAGGAGTAGGCCATCCAGCCCCTCGAGCCTGCCCCACCATTTAATAAGATCATGTCTGATCTTATTGAGACTCAGCTCCACTTACCCGCCCGCTCACCATAACCCTTAATTCCTTTACTGTTCAAAAATTTATCTAGCCTTGCCTTAAACACATTCAGCGAGGTAGCTTCAACCGCTTCACTGGGCAGGGAATTCCACAGATTCACAACCCTTTGGGTGAAGAAGTTCCTCCTGACCTCAGTCCTACATCTGCTTCCCTTTATTTTGAGGCGATGCCCCCTAGTCCTAGTTTCACCTGCTAGCAGAAACAACCTCCCTGCCTCCACCTTATCTATTCCCTTCATAGTCTTACATGTTTCTATAAGATCTCCCCTCATTATTCTGAATTCCAATGAGTATAATCCCAGCCTACTCAGTCTGTCCTCATAATCCAGCCCTCTCAACTCTGGAATCAACCGAGTGAATCTCCTCTGCACCCCCTCCAGTGCGAGTATATCTCTTCTCAAGTAAGGAGACCAAAACTGCACACAGTGGTCCAGGTGTGGCCTCACCAGGACCCTATACAGCTGCAGCATAGTCTCCCTGTTTTTAAATTCCATCCCTCTAGCAATGGCAGACAAAATTCCATTTGCCTTTTTAACTACCTGCTGCACCTGCAATCCTACTTTTAGCGATTCATGCACAAGGACACCCAAGTCCCTCTGCGCAGCAGTGTGCTGCAATTTTTTACCATTTAAAACATAGTCCATTTTGCTGTTATTCCTACCAAAATGGATGACCTCACACTTATCAACATTGTACTCCATCTGCCATTCCTTTGCCCACTCACTTAGACTATCTATATCCCTCTGCAGACTTTCAGTGTCTTCTGCATACTTTGCTCTACCACTCATCTTAGTGTCATCTGCAAATTTCGACACACCGCACTTAGTCCCCAACTCCAAATCATCTATGTAAATTGTAAACAATTGCGGTCCCAACACTGATCCCTGAGGCACACCACTAGCCACT